ATTATTATTATTGTTTGCAGTGCTAGGGATTAAACTCAGGGGCTTACTCATGCTAGGCAAGTGCTTTACTACTGAGCTACAATGCCAGCTGTTTTAATTTTTTAACTGACATATAAAAATTGCTCAGACAAATAGGGTACCATTTGATGTTTCTAAGCATATTTGTTGCCTTTTTTTTTTTTTTGGTGGTGCTAGAGATTAAAGCTAAGGTTCTTGTGCATGCTAAGCAAGAGCTCTACCACTGAGCTACATCTCTAGCCCTTTTTATTTTTAATTTCAGATAGGACCTTGCCAAGTTGCCCAAACTGTCTCAAAGTAGAGATCTTCATGCCTCAGCTATCCAAGTAGCAAGGATTACAGGCATGTGCCACCACACCTGACTTGATGTGTTTTAATTCATTGGCATTATTAGTCTCATGGAAACGCACATATCTCATAGTTGGTGGGGGAAATCCTTTTTTTTTGTTTTTTGTTTTCTGGTATCCGGAATCGAAATCAGTACCTTGCGCTTGCAAGGCAGGTGGTGGCACCACTGAGCTAAATCCCTGGGCCCGGAAATCCTTTGAATGCATCCGGAGTCCTCTGACATAATTATGGATGTGTTTGATGCTGCCCACACCTTTCTGACATGACCATGTTCTGGGTTCTGTTTTAGCTCAGGCTGCTGTAAGAAAAGCCTAGACTGGGGGGCTGAAACACTGTCATTTGTTCCTCACTGTGTGAGGCTGGGTGGTCCAGGTGGAGGTGCCAGCAGGTTTGTTCTTAAGTGGGGCCTCTTGTAAGCAGCTGCCTTTGTGCTGTGTGCCCACACAGCCTCTCCTCGGCACTGTGCATAGAGACACTGGGTGAGAAGAGGCAGGTAGACCCATCCCTCTAGACCTAATCACAATCCCAGCTACTGGGGTGGCTAAGGTAGGAGGATCACAAGTTCAAGACCACGCCAGCCTGGGCAACATAGACCTTGTCTCCAAAAAAGTAAAAATATAAATAAATAAAAATAAACCTAATCACTTCTCAAAGGCCCCTGCTCGAAATATTATCACATTGGGTGCTGAGATGTGAACACATAAATTTTGGAAGAACGGAGGCACTTAGTTCAATAACAGGTTTCTCTTGGACAGTTTCTTCCCAAGATCTAATCATTTCTCTGAGAAGTTCTCATTCTTTAACTCTTTTTTCTTTTAGTGATACTGAGGACTGAACATGTCCATGTGTGCTACGGCTTGTGTCTTGATATCCCCTCAAAGCCTCATGCAGTCATAGGTGGGGCTTTTGAGACATGGCTGCACCTAGAGTATATGATCCTAGGATTGTTTCTCCTCTTCAATGCCAGTCTGCCATGACACCCTGCCTTGGAGCCAGCCAATTATGGACTGAAACCTCTACAAACTGGGAGCTAAATAAACCTTTCCTCCTTTAACTTTGGGTGTCCAGTATTTTGTCTCAGAAATGAGAAAAGTAACTAAGACAATGTGCTACACAAATACCGCTGAGCAACATCCTCAGGCCCCACCCCCTTTTCATTTTGGGGCCTTTGAACTGAGCTACATCCCTATTCCTTTTTAAATCTTCATTTTGAGACTAGATTTTGCTAAGTTGCTGTTTTCTGGGCTGGGCTTGAATTTTCGATCTTCCTGCCTCAGCCTTTGAGAGTGCTGGGATTATAGGAGTGTGCCACCAGGCCTGGCAGAGCTCCGGTTCTTTATAAGAGGAAATGGTATTTAGATGTCAAATTTTAGATTTTCAGGGTACTCATTGTTGTTGGGTTGGTTATTGTTTTTAGTATTTTTCAGTGGAGTCAAGAAATACAATTTTTTAAAAAAGATAAAATATTCATGAGTTTATAATGTTTCTAACTTAAATTCAGTACCATAGATTTTATTTATCTTTGTTACTTCTACATCTGTGCCTCTTTTCTCCAATGCTGAAATATCCTAGTTTTCAATGATATTGGCATAATAAACTCACATGCATTATTCCATACTATATATTTGGTATCAATACCAACATTCTACCCACTATATAATTCCTGGAAACAATTTCTCTCCCTCCCCCAACCCTTCTAATTCTTTCTGTCCCAAAGGCATGTCCCTTCAGGAGATGTGGTCAAATTATTATGTATTTTTAAGTCATATCTTTATGGTTTATATATAGATGCCCCCCCCAAGCCTCATGTCTTTATAGGTGGGGCTTTTGGGAGTGATTGGATCATGGGTGTGTGATACTAGATTAGTGTGCTGATTGGTTTAGCATAGTTCTGGGTGTGGTTGATGAATTTACTGAAGAGGGAAGACCCACCCTGGATGTGGGTGGCTTGTAGCCTGGCTGGAATAACAAGGGAAAGAGGGAAGCTGTGCTGCTTCCTACTTACCCTGCCATGGACTGTTTCTCCTGTGCTGTGCCCCTCTGACATGCTGCCCTAACTTTGAGCCTACTGACTATGGACTGAAATTTCTACAAAATGTGAGCCAAAATAACCTTTCCTCCTTCAACTTGTGAGTGTCAGGTATTTTGTTCCAGCAACAAGAAAGTAACTAAGACATATATAGAATATTTAGTATCTTTGTTTCTGCTAACTACACACATATTTATGTTTATTTGTCTTATTTTACCTTCAATTTTGGGTATTACTATTTAAAATGTATTATTTTGTAAAATAGTTTTATGTTCCAAAGTCAGTTCTAAAAACCCAAGATATATAGAAAGTAATCTAGTTTCCACCACCATTGCTTTTGTCTTATTCTCTTCTTTCCCACAGGAAAAACGTTTGAAAACATTTTATGGACTAAAAATAAAAATATAGGGCAGGGGATTTAGCTCAGTGGTGCCACCACCTGCCTTGCAAGTACAAGGTCCTGAGTTCAATTGCTGTGCCAAAAAAAAAAAAAAAAATACAAATAGGCCTGTAATTTAGCACTTGGAAGGCTGAGGCAGGAGAATCGCCACGAGTCTGCCATTAGCCTAAGCTACACAGTCAATTCAAGTCCAGCCTGAATTACATAGTGAGACTCTGTCTCAAAAAAAACCAAACCAAGTCAAACCAAATCAAATTAAACCAAAACAAAACAAAATCTTCTTTCTGATGTGTGTACGTACATCATTTGAACAAAAAATGTGTTATAAAATATGCATTTTAAAAAAAACAAACAATATGCATTTTGCCTCTTTCACTTAGTAATGCATATAAAGATATTTCCTCATTTCTTATTAGACTCATGTAATTCTCCGCTGTGAAGCTATGCTATATTTCATTCAATCTGCCCTCACAAGGGTATATTGGCATTGTTCCTATCATTTGTTTCTGTTTCTACTTCTTTGATATTTTGGATAGGGCTGCTACTAACCATCTTCTGTGTATGCCTTGTAATAGCTAAGATACCTTCGCCCTAGAAGTAAAATGAGTAGGTCAAAGGGCAAATGCATATGGGATTTTGCAGCTTTTCCAAATTTCCCTCCAGAGGGCTTGGCCACTTGGTAGAATTCCCATCAGCAAGTGTGAGAGCCAGATTCCTGCTGCTCATTCTGAGTATGCTGTGAAGCTCTTGATTTTTGTCAGGGCAGAAATGGTATCTAGAATAGTTTTAATTTGCATTCCTCTTATTATAAGAAAGTTGGAGCATCTTTTCATACATAGAAGAGCCATTTTCAGGGTTTTGTTTTTTAAATGAGAATTGACTTTTTGGTATAAGGTTGTTGAACTTACCTGTATGTTTAGATGCTTTTGATATACAGGCGATAGTAACTTTTTCAAAAATCAGTTGCATATATTTTTCCTGGGTTCACATTTTTAGGGTTTTTAGTATTTCCCAAGAAGGTGTTTAAATATTCTTTTTAAAAGTGTAAATGAGGGCTGAGGATGGAGATCAGTGGCAGTGTTCCATCCACAGCAGTACGAAAAAAAAAAGTAATCTAATATCATTTTTAAAATTTTTGTTCCTGGATTTCAAGTCTTGGCTAGTAAAATACTTCCCATTCCTAGGATGTAGAGCAATTTGCCCATGCTTCCACCTGACATTTGCACAGTTGAACTTTTTATGTCTAAATAATGAATCTATTTGGAATGAATGCTGGTGGGCAATGAGATCTAAATTTTATTCATGCTGGTGTACAATGTAACACAATGTGTCAGTATGTGTGGCTCCAAGTTTCCTTTTCGGTATGGTTTCCAGTTATCCCAACGCAGCTAATTAAAAAGCACATCTTTCACCCACTCATTTAGGATGCCACCTCTACCCAAATTTAACTTTCCATGGAGAGTTGAATCTGTTTTTGGATTTTGTATCTCACATCATTAATCTTATTATTCATTCATCAGTACCATTTTTTTAACCTATAAAAAAGTATTATAGGGCCTGGGAATTAGCTCAGTGGCAAGGTCCTGAGTTCAATCCCCAGTACCAAAAAAAGAAAAAGAAAAAGTATTATGTTTTAAGGGTGGGCCATTCCTCTGTCCCCAGTTACTTCTGCGGAGGATTGCTGGCTGTTGGTGTGTCTTTCTTCATCTAAATGAACTTGGTAATTGTTAACTGAATCTATTTGGATTGCATTAATGAGTCTGTTAATCTGGGGAGAACAAACTACTCAATGATGTTGAGCATTTCTGTCTAATAATACATGTCTTTTTGGTGTTCAAATCTACTTTTGCATGTTTCCAGAGTCTTATGATTTTTCTCATTTAGGTTCTGGCATTTGTTTTAACAGTTAAGATGAGATAGTCTATGCTCTAGATTTCACTCCCCCTTTTCTCTATTTCTTTTCTCTAAGGTGCCGGGGATGAAACCCAAGACTTCATGCATGCTAGGCAATTGCTGTACCACTGACTACGCCTCCAGCTCTACTTTCACTTTCTTTGTCCTATTTTGCCTTTGTGTGGGGGTGTGGGTGTTTTTGGTACCGGGGATTGAACTCTGGTCCTTGTGCTTGCTGTGTTTTGTTTTTTGAAACAGGATCTTGCTATGTAGCTCAGGCTGGCCTTGAACTCACGATGTAGTCAAGGCTGGCCTTGAACTTGCTTGTGGTGATCCTCCTGCCTCTGCCTCCTAAGTACTAGGATTACTGTGCTTCATCACACCTGGCTTCTTTGTCTTATAATTGGGGTCTTCTTTTCTACTTTATCTTCTAACTGGTTTTGCTCACTTACATGGAAACCTTTGTTGTCTATTCTAATTTGGGGTAGGGGGCTTGCTACCCAATGCCCCCACATGGGCTGTCTACCATGAGGTTGTCAGGAAAGGACCTCTGCTCTGTTCTTATCCATCTTCAGTTTATTCAAAGGCAGTGGAGACTTGCTTCTCTGCAAATGACTTCTGGCAAAATGAGGCTCATCAAGTACACAGGCACAAAACACATTTCAGACAAGTTCAAACATTAATAATGTCATGGGTAACAGAGGAGGTGCCAAAGGAAGGAAATGGGCTGCACACATTTGTGGAAGACTCAGATGTAAATTGTTTTTAATGACAGTCCTCCAGTGATTTCATGTTATCTTATCTTCCTTCTGTTGCAGACAATGCCCAGAGCGAATGGGACCCAAGAAGCAAATGTACTGGGAATTGGCCTCCTAGGTAGCTCCTAAGAAAGGTGGCTGATTTATCCTTTTTATTATCAACTAATTATTATTAGTTGTGCAGTGCTGCGTATGGAACCCAAGGCCTCATGCATGCTGGACAAGCATTAGGAGATTGATTCAAATGAACCTTGTGACACTGTCCTGAAGATCAGTCTGCAGACCAGTCTGTATCTTATGAGAACTCCATCCCATTTTAATTAGACGTCTTCAGGAATTTCATTTAGAATTGTCTTGAAATATTGACTCTCATTATGTCATGATTGATGTAGACCATTGATATTTCCAGGAATCTTTGGTGGCTGTGAAATGATTCTGTCTTCTTCATTTGTTCAAGAAACTCAACTTCTGGGAGGGCTGGTCCTGAGGGAAACAAAAAAATCCACGGACAAACATCCTTACATCTCTGAGCCCAGCTGATCTTGCTCCCTTCTCTCCATGCCCTGCTTTCCTTTTGCCTGCTTAGGATAATCCCTCTCTAGCCCCTTCCCTTCCTAGTCTACCATCTCAGCCCTACCACCCTGGCCTGAGAGAAGGGCAGGTGAGGTCTCACCATCAGGGCACCAGAGGATAGAGATGGGTAGGGACTGCAGTCATTCATCTTGTTTTTTTTTTTTTGGCACCGGGGATCGAACTCAGGTCCTTGTCCTTGCGCAGCAGGCAGCAAAACCACTGAGCTAAATCCTTGGCCCAGTCATTCATCTTTTCATCTCCAGTGTGCACAGCATACAGCAGCAGATCAATGAGGATGACTGTGTGTAATGGTTTAGATTGAGGATGTCCCTCTAAATTGTCATGTACTCAGAGATGGGGCCTTTGAAGGATCATGGGGGTGCTATATTCCTCAGTGGATTCATCCAATAATGAATCCAGAGCTGAATGTGCTGTTAGGAGATGGGGCCTGATTGGAAGACATGGGTCCCTGGGAGTGTGGCCTGGAAGAGTGTGTCTCCTCCTCAGCTCTTGGCTTCTCTCTCTCCTTTCTGACTGCCACAATGTGAGCAGCTTTCTTCTGCCTAGGCCCTTCTACCATGCTGATTTTGTGTTTGAGCCTGCTGAACATGGACTGAAACTTCCAAAACTGTGAGCCAAAATAAATCTCTTCTTCTTTAAAGTGCAAGTGTCCCAGCCACGAGGAAGTACTAAGACAATAAGCAACTAACAAGGAAATATCTGCATAGATGGGCACAAGGATGAATCTATTAGCCACAGAGTTCTAGGCCTTTTGCACTTGACTCTCCCAGCTGTGTCCTCTAGGATGGCCCTGAAGAGGAAAAGAGGCTTCCATGGGGAAAGGTTCCTAACTTTTCCAACTTTGCACATTTCTTGTGCATCTCTGTAGTGATTTACTAACCAAATTGTCTGGGAGAGGGTTGAAGATTTGGGCTACAAATCAGATGCTTGTTGGTCTTTGGCTTGCCTGATATCTTCCCTTTTTGTACTTGTCCCCTTAGCCATTTCCCCTCATTACCAGGCATCCTCATGTTTCTTACTCCCATAGAAGCTTACTCTGGAAATAATGTGATAATGCATGCATAGTAGTAGGACGTATCTCCCTAGAAAGGTTCAGTGTAACCCATGCATATGTATGTATGCTGTGATAACAGACAACACTAAGTCACAGAAGTGACTCCAAGACTGTGGGAGGGACAGTGGGGTGGAGAGAAGATGTAGGCAGAGGGCCCTGAGGAGCAACAGTTGATCACTCCACTTTGGGAACTAGTTCTCCTTCGTTATGCTGATGCCTTCCTGCCTCTCCTCTTTGGTCATTGATAGTTATTTGGTCTACTTTATTAAAGTGGGAACTGGTCATCTTCACACTCTCTACTTAGTGCACCATTCTGTGTCCTTCAATGGTGGGCAGATGTATATATCTTTTGATGATAGCATAGACTCCTTGAGGTAGGGATTGGGCCCCTCAAGTTCTTTCTTGTGCTCCTAAGTTTTGCTACTGGATTGCCGTGGTCTGAATGTCTGTGTTCCCCCCGAAATTCATACACTGAAACTTAATCACTAATGCAAAAGAATTAAGAGGTGGGTTCTTTGTGAGGTGATTAGTTTAGGCGGATGGAGCCCTTAAGAATGGGATTAGTGACTTTTGAGATGATGGCAGAGCAGTGAGCAGCAAGTTGGCCTCTCCAAGATTTAGAATCCGGTCACTGGAAGGCAGCAAAATAGGGAAGAGGAGAAGGAGGGAGGTGAATCCCCAGGACCCAGGAGGGATCTGAAGGGAAAAATTGGAGCCCATGGAGAAAATGAAGACAGACCTCAAAGCAGAAAAAGGAAGGGGCAGTCTGCACTTTCTCCCTGGCTCCTGGCTCAGGAAATGAGAGGGAATGATCAAATCTACAGTGACACAGTGAAAGTGGGTGACTCCAGAGGCTTCCAGGGAGAAACACACCAGTGGAACAGAGCAGTGGATGCCTTGCACTAAGATAGCTGGTAAGTGACTCCAGTTCAAGTGACTGCAGTGTTCCCTGGAGACAGTGATTGTCTCACACCATTTTAAGGAGGGGTGAAATGAACCTGGGACTTGGAGCGGCTGTGGGTTGGCTTCATCTCAGGGCTCCCAGTGTTAAAAACCCACAGTGACTGGGTGACAGACAACCATGGAAGATGTCCAGGGTCAGGTAGCCATGGTCAGGCTGGAAGGAGATACCCAGAGTGTTATAAGATAAATGACTCATGTCCTAACCTGACAACCAGAGGCCAGAATAAGCCTGAACTTCTGTAGATTTGAAAGTACTAGAAATGGCATCCTACCATAATGCTACTGCAGCCTTGCTGGGATTATCCAGCATGGATCTGGGCTCCAACTGCCTCCTCAGTCTACCAGTGAGCAAAGAACCACACCCTAACTGGATACTAGCACAAAATTGAAGATCTCAGAAGATAACCACAGGCTTGAAATCACAAAGAATTTTCTTTCTTTCTTTTTTTTCTCCATAGCATGTGGGCTTTTTGTTGTTGTTCTTCTTCTTTTTTCTTTTTTTGGATTATTTGTTTTTGTTTTTTCATTAGTGTCAATATTTTTAGTGTTTTTGTTTTACTTTGTTCTTGTTTTTTCCTTTCTTTCATGCTTGTTGTCTTCTCCAATTTTCTGAGGCCTGGGTAATCTTTAATCTTCCTTTGTCCTTTAGCCTCACTTTGAATCTCTCTTCTTTTATTTCTGTATTTTTTTCCTTATCCTTTTTAAATTTTCTCCTCTTAGGGTAAAATTGCTCTATTGAGTGGATATTTACTGCATATAATTTTATGATTTGTCTTAGATTTTGTTATATAACTATAAATCTTGTGCCTATGGTTAAAGGTGACTAATAGTTATTGCAGTTTGTCATTTTCCAGTCTGTGCTTGATGCCATTGTTATTACTGATTATACTACTTTAGCCCAAGGTGACATAGCTGTTGTGATCAACTGATCTTCCTTGTATGCAAATACCTAGATTGTCTGGGGCTCATAGATAATGCTATAGTCCAGTATCAAAGAAATGGGTTTTAGGGCTGGGGATTTAGCTCAGTGGTTCCACTGCCTGCCTTGCAAGCGCAAGGTCCTGGGTTCAATCCCTGATATCAAAAAAAAAAAAAAAAGAACTGGGTTTTAGGCCAAGTAGGCAGCAACCTTTCATTCATAATAAATTGAAGAGGTAGGATCTTGAGACAGACTCAAAATCTAAAACCCAGCTGCACCTAGAAGACATCTCTGAACAGTAATAATTTCCTAAAGAGGTTCATCTACCATAAAAAATTTATAAGCCTCAATGCAGAAAACAAACAAACAAACAAAAATAGTGAGAAAACATGGAAGCAAGATGCAACCCATAATACCCAACTTGTCCAAGGCAAATCAAGGGGGTTTTGTGGTGGAAAAATATCAAAAGCCATTCAGCTGAATTTTATGAAAAGGTAGTAGCAGAAGTAAGAGAACAGATTAATAAGTCTCTTGACAAAAACAAAACAGAGATAAAGAGATGATGACCATAATGAAGGAAATAGTTAGTGAATCTAGAGCAAATACAGATAAAAAATAGGGGAGCTTGGCTGGGATTTAGCTTAGCAGTGCTGTGCCTGCCTTGCAAGTGCAAGGCCCTGAGTTCCATCTCTGATACAAAAAAAAGAAAGAAAGAAAGAAAGAAAGAAAGAAAGAAAGAAAGAATAGAGAAGCTTAAGAAAGACATGGAAACAATGAACAACCAATATAGAAAAGAACTAGATTCCATTAAACGCTCTCAAATAGGATTCCAGGAGATTAAAAATTCTACTGAAAGTACAGACAGCAGAGCCAACCAATGTGAAGATAGACTATCAGATCTAGAAGACAAAGTTGTGGTTGATGATCATCAAATGAAAGACCTCCTAAAAATTGCAAGGGATCACACAAAAATCAATCCAACAGCTGCTAGATGATGTAAAAAAGACAAATATAAGATTAATTGGAATCAGAACATAGCATAAAGGGCATCTGTTCAGAGAAGTAATAGCAGAAAACTTTCCAAACATGGAAAAAGAATTAGAGATACAGATAAGTGAGGCATATAGAACTCCAAATAGTTGATCGGAAAAAAACTACACTAAGGCATATAATAGTCAAGATTCCAGAAATTCAACACAAGAGCAGAATACTAAAAGCTGTTAGAGAAAAGAAACAAATCACTTATAAAGGAAAACCCATCAGATTCACATCAGACTTCTCAACACAAACCATTAAGTCAAGGATAGCTTGGGGTGAAGTATTTTAAGCCCTAAAAGAAAACAACTTCAAACTCTGATGTATCTCACAAAATTATCTTTCAAAGTTGATGGAGAAAAAAGATACTTCCATGATAAAGAACACTTGAAGAGATTCATGATCACTTCAGAAAGTTCTAAGGGATATTCTAGAATAAGACAACAAGGCAACAATTCCATGAATCCCAATAGAATGAGTCCCTCAGCCAAGGCAAACAAACAGAAGGGAAAGAAAGGGAACCAACAACAGGAAATGACAAGGATAAGTCAATACGTAGCAATTATAACCATCAATGTGAATGGTCTCAATTCACCAATCAAAAGAAACAAATTGGCAGAATGAATCAAGAAATAAGACCAAACAATATGCTACATAGAAGTAATACTTTTAACACAGAATGGAATTCATAGACTGAAAGTCAATGGATGGAAAACAATACTCCATGTGACAGGAAGCTGGAAAAAAGTAGGGGCAACTATTCTATTTGCAGACAAAGTGGACTTCAAGTCAAGACTGATCAGAAAAGACAAAGAAGGTCACAACATACTTGCTAAGGGAACAATCCAAGAGGAAGAGCTAACAATCATAAATATATATGGACTAAATACTGCCACTCCCAACTAAATAAAACAAACA